TGCAACAGGCACGGAGCCAGGACCCTGGAAACGGTGGCTACATCCAGGGAGGCCTCAGATGCCACCCACGGCTCACAGGCCCAGGGGTCACACTCCTGGCCAGACCCCAAGGGGGAACCCCCGTGTGTCATGCGCCTGCCTGGGGCTGGGAGCTTCACTCTGCCAACTCACTGACTGCTCTGGCAACAGGGCTATCTCACTCCCATTCAGGAGGGAAGTGGCTCAGAGAGGGAAGGGGACTTCCCTGGGAACACACATCAGGCAGCCCCCACCAGCATGCACTGAGAGCTGACTTTGTGCCAGGCACCATGCCCAGAGTGTGGGCCTAGGGCTGTCTGGCCTCCCTCTCCCAGTGGCAGGGGCTGGCATGGTGGTCGGCTGGGGCAGGGGCTCACCTGGGCGGGGCAGATGGCCTCACAGAGCTTGCAGGCAATGCAGCGCTCCTCCCCAGATGGGTACCGGCGCAGGGCATGCTCCCCACGGAAGCGAGGGCTCAGTGGACCCTTCTCAAACGGGTAGTTGATGGTAGCTGGCTCCCGGAACAGGTAGCTCAGGGTCATGGCCAGGCCTGTGGGCAGCACGGGTGTGGTGGGCAAGGGCACCTCCTCCCCCTTGCATCTGTGCCCACCTGGCACTGCCCCCATCCCATCCTGCCCAGCACACACCTCGGAAGAGCTCGGTCAACAGCAGGGTCTGGGCTGCTCGGTCAGTCACTGACCTCATGTCCATCTTGGGCTCCTGCACGTTCACATGCTCTGCAGAGAAGTTGGGGGCGGGGAAGCTGTGGCAGGAGGCCTTGCACACCGTCTCCCTGGAGCCTCAGGGGGAGGAGGCCTGGCCTCGCTTCCAGGGGCAACTACTGGGCTCCAAAGGGGCCGTTCACTCGCCACACCTCTCCCCAGCATCAGCAAGGACCCTGGGAGGCCGCCTCAGGCCCGAGCCCGTCCTTTCCCTCCTCTCCCTGTGATTGGGAGGCCATTTGAGTCCAGAGACCCCCCCCACCCTCAACAGGGCTTGAAAGAGGAATCAAGGGGGGTGGATGGGAGGCTTGAACCTTTACCTTCACCAGGGACTGGCAAGAGGCACAGGTATCCATGGCCCACACCTGGCAACCCCTCCCCGAGCTAACCCTGGCAATGATGAACCCTGCCCCCGTGATTCAGAGTCGGCCTCCATCGTCATGCTCATTTTAAGAGTAGAAACACACTCAGAGAAGAACGCCCCTGACAAAGCCAGGAATGGAACTCAGGTCTCTTCCCCCGCCTCCGGCAGGACCACAGTCAGGAATGCCTGAAGCTAGAGGCCACCCAGGTACTCACTGTAGGTGGTTGCCACTGCACTGCTGTGGAGGCTCCGGCTACCGGGAGGTGCTGCAAAAAGAGGGGCATGACCTCAGACCAGGAGACTGGGCTCCCCCACCCCCAGCAAAGACTCCCTGGGTCCTACCTGCACGGGCAGCCTGGGCCAGGGCCCGCAGCAGCATAGGTGTGGTCAAGCAGCGCATCTAGGGGCGTAAAAAGGGATGGATGGTGGGGTGTGCCCAAGAACCATCCTCTCTTAAGACTGGCACCGCAGGGATCCCAAGCCTCCACCGGAGACCCATGGTCACTCTGCCCTCTACTCCTACCCCATTGCTGTCAGCTGGCTTTCCCGTTCCCAGAGCCTCCCAGCCTTCCACCTGATCCAGCTCAGCTGAGCTACAGTTTAGTTTCTGCCAGCCCCAAGTTCTACCTCACCTTCTAAGAAACCTTTTCAATCCATCCATCCTTTCTCCCTCCCAGAGATCCTGTCTCCCATCTTTGTGCTCCTCCCTTCATCCTCCCCAAATCTGACCAAAAGCAACATTACCAGCCCCCACCAGCACACACTGAGAGCTGACTTTGTGCCAGGCACCATGCCCAGGGAAGGGGGTGGCATGCACTGCCATCCTGTCCCTTACAAGGGCTCCACCAGGGAAGCACAGATGAGGTCCTGGGGCTGTTTGTTAAGTGATGCGCTAGGGTCGGGCGTGGTGGCTCACACCTGTAATCCCAGCTACTCGGGAGGCTAAGGTGGGAGAAGTGCCTGAATCTGGGAGCCGGAGGGTGCAGTGAGCCCAGCCCGCACCAGTGCCCTCCAACCTGGGCGACAGTGAGAGACCTCTCAAAAAAAAAAAAAAAAAAAAGAAAGAAAAAAGAAAAGAAAAAAAAGTGACTCGTTGGAAGTCACACGATTAGGAGGCGGGCGGTGGACTGGAACTCAGCCCTGCCCTGCTGGAAACCCTTCAAGGTCTGCACAGTCCTCAGTACCACAGTCTTTTCTCCAGCTTCAAGGCCCTCCTGGAACTGTCCCCTAGCCTGCCACGTGACCTTGGGCAGGTGACGTGCCCCGGCCTCCGTCTTCTCACCTATGAAGTGGGTTGGGCGAGGGTGGTCTTGGGAATTAGGGGAGCCGGTACGTGCCAAGGGCACGCCAGAGCCGAGCCCGGCACTTAGCCGGAGCTCGAAAGTGCTCCTCCCATGACCTGTGACCCCTAGCAGGCCCGCTCCTTTGGACCACTGACTGCAGTTCTAGGGACCCAACCCAGCACCTTCCCCGACCTTTCCCATGATCTCCGACCCCACAGAGGTTAGTGCTGCCAAGCGGCTGGCGCATGCGCCCTGAGGGCCGGCTCCCCGCTGCACCCGAAGGGCATGGAGGCCGCGGGTCCTAAGTGGGCCGAGGGGAAGCCCAGGAGCGGAGCTGGCAGCACCAACGGTAACACCGCACTCGCCCCGGACGCCACGCTGCCCAGGCCGGGACTTCGCGGCCAAGACGTGAACACCCACCTTGAAGCGCCGCCGCTACTTGCCTTGCCGGGCCGAGCAGAGCAGTCAACCGGGAGGCGGAGCCTACACTCTAACACGCTGCCATTGGGCCGACCGGATTCCCCTTTTTTGTATTGATGCTCTATGGTGTGGCCTGATTGGCCAGTAAGTCTGCCAAAAGAGGCGGGATTTAGAAACATCCTTCTTTTGATTGGCTAGGAGGCGAGCGGGCGCTTGAAGAGTGCAGGGCGCCGCCATGTTGGTTTGGAGAGGCCAATAAATGAAGACTTCCGAGGTGTGGGAGGCGGGACATCCGGGGCGTGGTTTAGAAAGCCGCATTGGTCGCCCTGGGCGGAGAGGGTGGGCCCACCGGGTCCGGATTGGGGGTGTGGGTTCGTGTGTTGATGGTAATGGCGATGAGATGCTCTACCCACGCGGCCTCCATTAACCCTCACAGCAGCTCTGTGTGGAGAAACTACAGTACTGAGTTATCACGTTAAGACGGCAAACTGAGGCACGGGAGTATTCAGTAAAGTTCCCGGGCCGTAGAGCTGCGGGGTGCGGCAGTTTGATCCACCTGGTCCGTTTGACTCGGGAGCCCAGTCCCTCAACCAGCATGTGTTTCCTTCCCGCGAATTCTTTTTTTTTTTTTTTTTTTTTTTTGAGACAGGGTCTGGCACTGTGGCGCAGGCTGGAATGCGATCTCTGCTCACTGCAGCCTCTACCTCCCATCTCAGCCTCGCGAGCAGCTGGGACCTCAGGGCCCCGCCACCGCCAGGCCCGGCTAATTTTTGCATTTTTTTGTAGAGACGGAGTCTCGACATGTTGCCCAGGCTGGTCTGGAACTCCTGGACTCAGGCGATCCTCCTGCGTCAGCCTCCCAAAGTGCTGGGATTACAGGCGTGAGCCACCGCGCCCGGCCCTCCCGGGAATGCTGTGGTAGAGGGACCTGCGGAGGCCCCGCGGCTGCCTGTTTGTGTGGGTTGAGAGGATCTGAGTTGAGGGTGGGCAGGCCAGGAAGAGAAGGCAATGGAGGGCACGTCCGGCATCCATGTAGAGGGAGGACACACACAGTAGACAGGACTAGGACAAGGGCAGGTTGAGTGTGTGCAGAGGAGGCAGTGGCTCAGGACTTGCATGTGGATGGCTGAGCCTCCAAAGGACTTGTGGGCCACAGGGAAACCCTGGGGTGGCGGGGTTCAGGCTGAGGAGTGGAGAGGGCTTTGGACTGGTCAGCAGGTGCTCCGAGGAGAGGGGCTGGGCCTGGAGAGAAGGGAGGTCTCAGGATGGTGGCCAGAACCTGACCCTGGCCCTGCACCTGGTGATTCCTGCATGGATTGGGGAAGTCCTGCAGCATTACGGAATTGTCACCCAACACCAGGGGCTTGGTTCAGGGTTCTGTTGCTAGCTGCACAGAAAGCAAATCACCAAGATGTAAGTATTGCCAGGGCAGAAGGCCTTATTCAGATGACATCAGCCGGAGAGATGAAACTCAGGTTCATCCCTGTCCCCCTCCCCTACTAAAGTTGAAGGTTGATAAAGTCAGTCTGAAAAGAAATCCGGAGGCAAGGAAGAGGAGGTGGCCCGAAGGCTGCAGGAGCTGCCTCTCATTGTCCAAACGTAGGTTTCTGAAGCATCCAGCTTGTTAGGAAATTGGGCCAGTTTCAGACTCATCAACTTGTTCAAAAGTGGGACCTGGGGGGATGAGAAAGGGTGTCAGGCAGGAAAGCCTGCGTTCTGCTTTGGCTGACTGGAAGGGACCCAGGAGGATGAGCAGGATGGCGAAGAGCATGAGCTGCAGTGGACATGGTGAGAATGAAGAGTTCCGAGCCCCTCTGGCATGGGCTGGAGGGAAGGGAGACCTTACCTCATAACCACAGCCTCACCTGGCTGGAGAAAAGAGAGAGGCTGCCCTGCTCCGTGCCACCCCACCGAGAAAAGACAGGACATCTGGAGCCCCGTCTCAGCAATCCCTCATTTAATCCTTGCAAAAACCCGGGAGGTATTTTTTTTTTTTTTTCAGACGGAGTCTCACTCTGTCACCCAGGCTGGAGTGCAGTGATGCGATCTCAGCTCACTACAACCTCCACCTCCCGGGTTCAAGCAATTCCCCTGCCTCAGCTTGCTGAAGTAGCTGGGACTACAGGCATATACCACCATGCCTGGCTAATTTTTGTATTTTTAGTAGAGATGGGATTTTGTCATGTTGGCCAGGCTGGTCTCAAACCCCTGACTTCAGGTGATCCGCCTGCCTCAGCCCCCCAAAGTGCTGGGATTACAGGTGTGAGCCACCATGCCCAGCCAGGAGGTATCAATTGTGAAACCTCTCTACTGAATAGATGGGGAAACAGGTTCAGAGAGGGTAGGGATGGCCTTGGACATACTGATTCCATAGTGTGGCCTGAATCAGATGCCAGGGCCCCTAGGCCGCCCACTCCACAGGATGGTGGTGGCCCAGAGGCGCCATGCCTATCCTCTTCTGGACATGGGTGGCTGGCGCAGGGACAGGAGTCGGTCACTACGCTGTTTCCCATGGCTCTCGTAGTTGAGGGCAGCTGAGGTAGGAGGCTGACACGGGGAGAGGGAAGCCCCAGGAGGGAGGAGGCAGGCGCTGCTCTGAGGAGCGCCTGGAGCCTTGGCAATCCTTTTTCTCCTCAGAGACCTGGAGCCCAGGCCCTGTCTCCACCAGCTGCAGGTGACAGCGGTCATGGTGGTCTCTGGCCTGGGCCTGGAGAGGGGCTCAGAGCAGCGTGCAGCTGCAGTCTCGGGCCTCCATGGCCACCACCAGCTTCCTCAGGTGGCGCGGTGAGTGGGGCGGGTAGCGGATGGCGTTGAGCTTCTCCATCCCCGGGCTGCGCAGGAGGCAGGCACGATGGTGGGAGAAGGTGTCGAAGGAGAACTTGCCGTGGTACCGGCCTATCCCGCTGGCACCTGGATAGTGGCGCAGAACACAGGTGGTCAGGCCCTCAGGGTGTCAGACCTGGGCTCTGCCAGTCACAGACAGTGGGGCCTAGGCAGGCTACTTCACTCCTCTGAGCCTCAGTTTCCCCATCTGTCCAGCGGGCTGATCATGAGGCACTGTGGATAAAGGGCTTAGCCCCGAGCTTGGCACTAGCCCAGTAAGCCTTGGGGACACCAGGTGCCAGGGCATGATAGGCAGACGGTGGTCAAGGGCATGGATTCCATAGTCAGACTGCCTGGGGTTAAATCCTGGCCCTGCTACAAACGAGCCGTGTCACCGTGCCTTGGTCTCCTCTGCCATGGGGTGACAAGGGCATCTCCCTCCTAGGGTTGTGGTGGGGATTGAGGGGGTGTTGAGACCCCTGGACCCAGTAGGTGCTGTGTGCAGTGAGCTGTCCTCAGCGTCTAGGTCGGGAGGCAGACGAGGCCCCAGGCCAGCGTGTCCAGGGCACAGCCTGCACGGAGTGGGGTTGGCTGGGGGGCTTCCTGCAGTGAGTGAGCCCCAGGAATGGGAGGAAGAGGGTGGGTGAGGGCAAGAGGGACCCAGGCTTGGGGAGCCTCAGAGGTGAGTGTCACACAGTGTTTTAGGGACCTGAGCAGAGTTCAGGCTTCCAGAGAGGCAGGTGGGAAAGCCAGGGTGGGGCCGTGGCCACCGGGAAGATCTCGGGCCTGGGAGCTGGGGGAGGCGTTACTGAGGGAGCAACAGGGTCAGATGTGCTCACAGAGGGCCTGACTCTCCTCCAGGGCAGAGGAACAGGTTGAGGAAGCTGCAGCTGGTGCTGGGGAGGCAGCAAGGCGGGGGCAGGGGCAGCCACCCAAACTTGAGCCAAGCTGGGACAGCAGCACAGGCACTGTTGTGGCCCTGGCCGCCCTCCAGGAAGGGTGTAGGTCCACCTGGGGCAGCTTGCCTGGCCCTGCCATCGTTTACTCTGGTGCTGAGTGTGGACGGGTGGCAGGGCTGGCAGCCACCTTCCCAGGGCAGGTGTTCACTGAGGAACAAGTGAGCTTAGAGAGGGGAGGTGTCACCTGGGCCACAGGGCCTGTCAGGGTGTTGCTGGGACCAGCTCTGAGGCTTCCTGACTCGGAGGCCAGGCCTCTGCAGTGGCATCAGGGGCTGTTCTGGAGGGCGGAGGATTTGCAGTCATTTGGCCTCCCAGGGTGGGGAAGTGTACTGAGTGCTAGAGCGGGGATGGGGTTAGAGGAGTGGCCGCCCTGGGGTAAAGGACACTGGTGGCATTGCTGCTGAGGGGCAGGTGCCAGGGCATGTTGTTGGGAGAAGAGCAAGCAGCAGCGCAGTGGGCAGTCTGATCATAATTGTGTGGGTTTTTAAAAAATTCACTGAATTGTATGTCTGCGCAGAGATGATCTAGAAGGTTCCGCTGCAGACCTTTTTTTGAGACGGTGTCTCACTGTCCAGGTTGGACTCAGACCCTCTGGGGTGGTGAGCAGGATGGAGGTTCTGGGGTGAGGCCTCCTTGCCTGTCCCTCCACACTGAGGTGGGGCTGGGGTGTTTTTGGCGGGAATGTATGCAGGTAACGCTGTTGCAGTTTGACCATATGGTAACAGAAGGGCAGGGTAGCAGGCACCTACCCACTCCTCCGAAAGGCAGGCTGGCCAGGGTTATGTGCATGAAGCCGTCATTCCCGCAGAAGCCCCCGCTGCTGGTCTGGGCCAGTATCCGCTTGACCACCTGAGAGAGAACAGGATGTGTGTGAGGCTGCCTTGAGCCCCGCTGGGATCCTCAGGACCCAGAGCCTGGTCCAGGCTGGACTCTGTGACGCTGGCCTTGCCTCAGAAAGGGTCTGAGGCCACCATGTCAGCTGAAGGGCACGTGATGGGACAGGTGGGACAGGTGGGGCAGGGGGTTGTGTAGGAGCCCCTTATGGGGCTTCCACTTGGGACATGTTTCCTGGACTCTACTCATGTGTGGCCCATGCTGGGGGCACAGACTCTCAGGCCTGGGGGTAAGGGCAGGAAACCCAGTATTGCCTGGGGACATGGAAGGTGGCAGTGGCAGTAGTGCAGTGCTGGACAGCAGGGAGGCATCCCAGGGGAGGGGTGTCATGTGCCTGCTGAGTGGAGGGTTTGGGAGGGACAGAAGTTATTCAGGCAAAGAGGGCGCCCCAGACAGACTGGAGGCTGAAGGGCTGTGTGATGGGAGCACAGGGACATGAAGACATAGTGATGTGGTCAGATTTGCACTTTAGAAACAAGCTTGGCCCTTGCTTGACTTAATAAAGGACCTTCTTCCTCAATCTGTAGGCTTATTTGAAGACTGAAAGGAAAAAAAGATTGGTAGACACTAAATTGTTGCTGCACAAAAACGTCAACATATTTAGTTGCAATCACCGAGAGCCTCTGATTACAGCTGGGTCAGGGCTTGTCTGATGTGGGGAGAGTGGACTGCCCCCAGTGGCTTCAGAGGTCACTTCATGGCATGAGACCAGCATTACCCACAATGGCAGTGGCAACAGATGGAGGAGATGGAGCAGAAGGCAGCAGAGGGCGTCCTGAGTAGTATGGGCAAGCCACCTTGTGCATGGCTTGCATCTTAGATGTGACTGTGTGTCCTGGGACCAGTGGTGAGTGGTCAGAAAAGTCTGAAGCCAGTTGACTCCACTGCCAAAAAACCTCTGTAGCATTTTCTAAAGGTAAAAGTATCCAGATGAAGCAGGGCTCCTTGGAGGAATGGCTGCTTCTGGAGTTAGAGCAGGAAAAATATAAGATGAGCCTGGAGCTGCTTGTAGCACCAGAGGGGAAGGAGGTGGTCACAACCCAAGAGGCCGGACCATCTTACAGAAGCATGGGCTTCCAAGCCTGAGCCTCAGACAAACCATGCAACCTTGGATTACAGCCCCTGGAGTCAAATGAATATACCTGAGTCTGTACTGACCTAAATAAACAATTCAAGAGATGAAACTTTCTTACAAAATTCCAGGAAATAGATGTAGATACTGCTGCTAGCCAAGAATACTATATCCAGCTAAGACTACACTTCATAGATGAAGGAGAAATAGAGCCTTTCCCAGACAAGCAAAGGCTGGGGGAATTTATCACAACTAGATCAGTCCTGTGAGAAATGCTCAAAGGAATCTTAACATAAAAATAAGTTGATATTTGTAATAATACACACAAAAGTCTGAAACTTGCAGGCCCTGTAAAACAATCACACAAAGGAGGAAGAGAAAGATATCAGACAGCAGTACAACAGAATTCCACTAAACCACAAACAGAATAAGAGAAGAATGTATAAAATAATTAGATAATAACAATATGATAGAGCAGCATAGTTTAATTACTCCCACCTGGTGAGGGTGGGGTAGCCTTAGAGACTTGCCTCCAAATAATAAACAATAGTAGCTTCCCAGGGAGACCCTGGCAGACCCTGCCCCGACCCTGTAGTGAAGGTTCCCCTGACCAGCCACGTGTGCATCTCTGGTGCCCCTGATGTGGTGTGAGAGGCAGGCTCACCTCTGTGGGATTCTCTCCTAAAACTGGTAACCCTTCTTTAATAATGTGAAATACACCAGATGACCTTAGGCTGGGGATGTTCTACAGGAGACTTGTCTAGCACTCCTCAAGCTGAGAGGCTTCTTAATGCAAGGTGGGACCCTGGCTTAGATCCTGGGGCTGAAAGGGGACGGCAATGGAAAAACTGGCAAAATCCAAGTCAAGTCTGGAGTGTAGTTAATAGTAATGCACTGCTGTCATGTTTGTTTTTTTCTGTGGTCAGGAGATCCTCCCACCTCGGCCTCCTGAGCAGCTGGCACTACAGGTATGTGCCACTGTGTGCAGCTAATTTTTAAAAATGTTTCATAGAGACCGGAGTTTGCTGTATTTCTGGGGCTGGTCTCAAACTCCTGGGTTCACGTAATCCTCCCACCTCAGCCTCCCAAACTGCCGGGATTACAGGTGTCAGCCACCACGCCCAGCCCTGTCATCACTTTTTTTTAGTTTCGACCCATCTAAGCACCGTTAAATGGGAAAAATTAGATGTGAGGCACATGGGAACTCTCTGTACTATCTTGGCAACTTTTCTATAAATCTAAAAGTATTTCTCAATAAAAAGTTTATTTAGCCGGGCGCGGTGGCTCAAACCTGTAATCCCAGCACTTTGGGAGGCCGAGGCGGGTGGATCACGAGGTCAAGAGATCGAGACCATCCTGGCCAACATGGTGAAACCCCATCTCTACTAAAAATACAAAAAATGAGCTGGGCATGGTGGTGCGTGCCTGTAATCCCAGCTACTCAGGAGGCTGAGGCAGGAGAATTGCCTGAACCTAGGAGGCGGAGGTTGCGGTGAGCCGAGATCGCGCCATTGCACTCCAGCCTGGGTAACATGAGTAAAACTCCGTCTCAAAAAAAAAAAAAAAAAAAAAAAAAGTTTATTTAAAAAAATGTTCAAGTGGCCGGGCACAGTAGCTCATGCCTGTAATCTCAACACTTTGGGAGGCCGAGGCAGGCCTATCACCTGAGGTCAGGAGTTCGAGACCAGCCTGGCCATCATGGTGAAATGCAATCTCTACTAAAAATACAAAAAATAGGGCTGGGTGTGGTGGCTCACGCCTGTAATCCCAGCACTTTGGGAGGCCAAGGTGGGCCGATCACAAGGTCAGGACTTTTGAGAACAGCCTGGCCAATATGGTGAAACCCTGTCTTTACTAAAAATAGAAAAAATTAGCCAAGTGTGGTGGAGGGCAGCAGTAGTCCCACATACTCAGGAGGCTGAGGCAGGAGAATCACTTGAACCCGGGAGGTGGAGGTTGCAATGAGCCGAGATTGCACCACTGCACTCTAGCCTGGGCGACAGAGTGAGACTCCCTCAAAAAAAAAAAAAAAAAGTTCAAGTGGAGGGAATCGATTTGCTGTCTGAGGGCCGGGGGAGGGTGGGTGGGGACTCCTGGTACCTCTTCGTGTTTTTTAATCTGAGGACTCTGCCCTTGGGGCTCCCAGGGTACCTCTGCAGCTTGTGCAGTGGTCGGGTATCAGGGCTTATTCTCGGACCTGCACCTTCAGGTCATCCCTGACGTGTTGCCTGTGCCTTGAGAGCCAGGTCATGCAGCCACAGGCCCAGATGTGTAAGGAAGAACAAAGGCAGGGCTGACCTGGAGGAAACGCTGGACCCTAGAGAAGACCCCAGGAAGCCGCCCACTGAAGGCCTAGGAGAGTGGGGCCCAGACTAGGAGCAGGGCTGGGGTGGGTGATGCTCAGCTGCTTCCAGGACAGTAGGCAGAGACAGAGTCCAGAGGACCACCATCCCAAAGTCCTGAAGCCACTGGACTTTGGTGGCCCCTCTGCTGCCACCATTTGCACTGCCCACTGCAGGCTCCTGCCCCTGCCCAGCCCGGCCGCGCCCCCACCTGGCTGCTATTGGAGAAGGCGAACAGGGCCAGGGGCTTCTCCCGCCGGTTGATGAACTCGATGGCCTCGTCCACGCCCCGCACGTTCATGATGGGCAGGATGGGCCCGAAGATCTCCTCCTGCATCACCGGCTCCGCCTCCTGCACGTCCACCAGCACTGTGGGGGCTGCCGGGCACCAGAGATGGCTCAGCCCGGGGGCCACAGTCAGGACAGCCCCCAGGGGTGGGGGTAGCAGTGGGGACAGGACAAGGGCCAGGGCTCCAGGCCAGGATCTTGGGGTCTGACTTCCCAGGGCTCCAAGATTTGGAGTGTCTAGGGAAGAAAGTCTCCCCAAAGCCCCCAGAAGGGACCCTAGGGCTTCCCCAGCCTGCCCAGGGCCTGTGGGACCCAGAGAATCCCCCGACCTTGGTCCCACAGTCAGGAGTGATGGGATCTCAGAACCTTGGAGTTCATGAGGTGACAGCGTCCAAGAATGTTGGAGCCACAGTGTCCCGTGAGCTGCTGAGCTATACGGCCCAGGAGACCGGGGGGGCTCAGGATGGGGCCATCGGAGTTTGGAACCTGGGGATCGTGGGCTCAGAGAATCTGAGGTCATGGCCTTTCAGGACAGCCGGTGGTGGGATGGGAGTTCATCTTAGCACGGTGGGCCCTGGAGCCCAGAGTCCGAGCTCAGTGAATGAATCCAGGGCTGAGGGACCAGAGTTTGGCCTCATGGGGCCACAGGCTCAGAAGCACAGAGACAGATTAGTGGCACTGGAGCTGTGGCTCAAGGCTGGGCTCTGGCAGTGGGGCCAGGTTTCAGGTGCGGGCCCAGATTCATGGCCCAGCTGTGGGCCCTCCAGTGAGGAGGGGTCTCTGCCCATGTGGGCTGTGGCGGGGGCAGCGGAACTCACCGATGTAGCGATCGTGCTCGTCGCTCTGGCCCCCGATGGCCACGCGGCCGCAGCCCAGCAGTGCCCGCAGCCGCTGGAAGTGTTTCTGGTTGATGATGCGGCCCAGGTTTGGGGAGCTCTGGGGGTCATCGCCATAGAAACGGGTGATGGTGCTCTGCAGGGCGGGCAGCAGCCTCTCCTGCATCTCAGGGCTGCACAGGAGGTAGTCAGGGGCCACGCAGGTCTGGCCGGCGTTGAAGTAGCGGAACCACGCCACGCGGTTGGCCACGATCTGGGGGTCACAGTTGTCGTCCACATAGCAGGGGTTCTTGCCCCCCAGCTCCAGAGTGACGGGCGTCAGGTGCTTGGCGGCGGCGGTCATGACGATCTTGCCCACACGAGGGCTCCCTGGGCGTGGAAGGGAACCAGAGTGGCCGTTCAGTGACCTGGACCAGGTGAGACGGCCCAGCCCAGGGCCCCGCTCCTCCCTGGAGAGGTGATGGAGTTGGCAGGTGCCAGCCCTCACCTCGCCTTTCCTTGTCCCTCACTGCCACCCTGCAGCCCAGGGCCTGCTTATCCCTCCCCAGGACCAGCCCTAAATGCAGAGTCTCGGGGGGGAAAGGTGCGTGGCAGCTGTTGGCCCTCAGGGTCCCCTACCTGAGGTAAGCCCCTTGGCTCCTCCCGTCTCTGCTTCTAACCCTGGCTCACCCTGCAGGGGACGCTGTAAAATGCTGCATAAAACCCTTCTCCAGAACCTTCGGGGATCCTTTATCACCCAAGGCTGGGGTCCAGCTCTTAGTCTGTGGCATTCAGGTCTTGCTTCTCTAAACCTAAACCTGGCAGTTCTGCCACCACCCAGCCCTTTTTTTCTGACCCTTGAGGTGGACTGGCCCAGGCTGAGGCGTCCCCACGTCCAGCCTGGCTTGGCCTCACCTCTCCTCTGTGCTGGCCTCCGGGGGCCCAGCAGCCTCCCCCGCGCACTCAGCCTCTCTGCCCTAGCCCTGTCTGGGCCGCAGGGCCTTCTCTCCAGACCTCGCCCAGGGCCTATGCTGCTGCAGCTGTGGGGATGGCCCTGGCACTTCCCCTTGTAGTCAAGGATTAAAGCCGGCAGGAGCCACTGTCCTTCATTACTCTCACCCCGCCCCCTCCTGGGCACAGTGCTTCCTGGGCTCTGCAGTTGCCCCTGGGGCTCCTTCTGCCTTTGCCGGGAGGTGGGCTGGTCGGTCTTCCAGGCCCTTCCCCATGGTTCCCTCCACCTGCAAGGCACAGCCTCGCCTCTCAGCACCACTGTCTTCCTCCCGCTCCTTCTGCCCCTCATTAGCTCAAAAACTCGAGGCCAGGTGCGGTGGCTCATGCCTGTGATCCCAGCACTTTAGGAGGCCAAGGCAGGAGGATTGCTTGAGGCCAAGAGTTTGAGACCAGCCTGGGCAACAGAGTGAGACGCTGTCTTTACTAAAAATACAAAACAATTAGCGAGGTGTGGCGGCACATGCCTGTAATCCCAGCTACTTGGGAAGCTGAGGCATAAGAATCACTTGAACCGGGAGGTGGAGGTTGCAGTGAGCTGAGATGGTGCCACTGCCTGGGTGACAGAGCAAGACTCTGTCTCAAAAAAAAAAAAAAAAAAAAAAAGAGCGACCTCTGGCATGGATTTCACCAGGGCTTCTGTGCACTTTCCAGCCTGCCCCATCCCGGCCAGCAGGTGACCCTGGGCAGGATGCTGAGCCCCAGTCCCTCATCTGCCTGCAGAGAGGGCTGCGGGCACCAGTAGGGTGGTGACTAAGGGCCTGGGGGCAGTGGGGTCATGCATGAGGGTCTGGGGGCGGTGTGGGCAGAGGCTGTGGTTCCCGAGGCTGTGGATGGCATGGTGGGATGGCCCTGGACATGGGACTCCATCCCTTCCTAAGGGGTCCTGGGGGTCCAGGACTGCTCCCAGCCTGGTCCAGAGAGACAGGAGAATCCAGTCTCCCTTTTGGACTCCCAGAGTTAGGGACCCCAGCCCTGAGCCTCGGGCTGTCCTCCCCGACCCCCGCCTGTCCCGACCCTCACCTGTGAAGAAGATGTAGTCGAACCTGTGCTCCAGCAGCTGCCCCGTCTCCTGGGGCCCGCCCAGCACCACGGCAAAGCAGCTCTGCAAGGCAGGAGGTGAAGATCCCTCTGGGACCCCAGCTCCAAGAGCCCAGGGAGCAGCCTGCCCCACTGGACCCTGCCCTGCCTGTGCCCCGCCAGGCCTGACCCAGCCAGGGATCTAGGAGGGCTGCATGGAGGCAAAGTGGGGAGCAGGGAGCTCCCCAAGAGTGCCTGGCATTGGCAGTCCGGCTGGCACTGCAGGAGCTGATGCCAGGGCCAGGCAGAGGCAGACACAGGACCCCTGGGCAACAGGCTGTCCTTGCTGCTCCTCAGAGGGAAACTGAGGCTGAAGGGGCGGTGACTTGGCCAAGTTTACAACTCAGAAGAGGCAGGATTGAGTGGGGGACTTGGGTCTGACCGACCCTCGAGGCCTGCCTGCTCCCGCTCCATCTGCCCGGCAGCCCTGCTCACCTGGTCCAAGTATCGGGGCAGCTCCTCGGCCAGAATCTTCTCTATGCTCTTGCTAATCTCCGATGGCTTCAGCACCACACAGTTCCCTGCAGGGCAGCGGGGGGAGACAGCTGGGGAGGCGCAGCCCGCTCCTGGCCTCCGCACACCTGCAGCGCAGGTGCCGGCCTCCCCCACTTTCAGACACCGAACCTGGTTCAGAGAGGTGACATGACGGGCCCAGGGCCACACAGCCCGGGGACATGAACCAGACAGTCCTTCTCTGCCACCTGGGCCAGTTTCCCATGTCCTCCTGGGACCCATGCGTGGCGCTGAGGCCCCGAAGGGAGAAGGGCGGCCGGAAGGGGCAGCCTAGCTCTCACCTGCGGCGAGGGCACCCACCAGGGGCACCAGCGTCAGGTTCAGGGGGTAGTTCCAGGGCGCGATGATGAGGACCAGGCCAAAGGGCTCCTTACGGATGAAGGCTGAGTCCAGCTGTGTGGCCTGGGCCGGGAGCCGGGGGTGAACATTAGGTACTCAGCACCCCGGCCCTCAGCAGCCGCCCCCACCCAGAGGGGTTACCCTGGGGAAGCTAATATCCCCGGAGCCCCCACCCGCCTCAGCCTGGCTGGCTCACCAGGCTCTTGGGCACATGCTCGTCCTTCATCCAGGCCCGGAGGTTCCTGAGGGCCAGGTTGACCTCGCCCTGGCTGATGGCGACCTCAGACAACTCGGACTCGAAGGCCGACTGCAGGAAGTGGGTGGGGTCAGGGTGGGCCAGGGCTCCCAGGGTCGGCAGGAGGCCACAGCCTCCTGCAGGCAGGGCCTGCTTCCATTTCTCATGCATTCATTCATTCGTTCGTTCACTCACTCACTCCATGTTCAGCATGAGCTTCCTGTGTGAGGTGCCGTCTCCGTGCAAAACAGAGAGACCTGCCCTGACACCGACCTCGCAGGGTGCAGTCGGTCCACGTGAAGCTGAGAACAGGGATGGCTCCATTAGGACGCGGCTGTGCCAGGGGAAGCACAGAGCAGGGTGGGGTGGAGACTGCTGGAGGGTGTCTGCAGACGTGCGCAGCTGTGCACATGTGTTCATCCACATGAGCGTGTGTGTGTGCTGTTTTTACAAAGTGGTCAGTCCAGGTCTCCAGGAGGTGGTGACATTTGAGCAGTGAACTGAAGGCAAGGAAGGAGCAAGCTGTGGGTACCAGGAGGCAGGATGCTGTGGGCAGAGGCCCTGGCAGCTGCAAAGCCCCCGAGGTGGCTGTGAGCTTGCAGACACCCCTACCTCATACGCACACAGGGAGTGTGAGCTTGCCCCGATCCAGCTCAGCAGGAAGCGGAGTGGGCGAGGTGAGGGGCCAGGGCTCCTGGGAAGAGCAGGGATGGATCTGACTTAGGGTGCTTTTAAAAAAATTTTAATTGGCTGGGCGCGGTGGCTCACGCCTGTAATCCCAGCACTTTGGGAGGCCGAGGCGGGTGGATCACAAGGTCAAGAGATCGAGACCATCCTGGTCAACATGGTGAAACCCCATCTCTACTAAAAATACAAAAAATTAGCTGGGCATGGTGGTGCGTGCCTGTAATCCCAGCTACTCGGGAGGCTGAGGCAGGAGAATTGCCTGAACCCAGGAGGCGGAGGTTGCGGTGAGCCGAGATCGCGCCATTGCACTCCAGCCTGGGTAACAAGAGCTAAACTCCGTCTCAAAAAAAAAAAAAAAAAATTTAATTTAAAAACATTGTGAATTTTTTATTTTTTTCAGAGACACGGTCTTGCTATGCTGCCCAGGTGGGTCTTGAACTCCTGGCTTCAAGGAATCCTCCCACCTCAGCCTCCCAAAGTGCAGGTGGAAATTGGCTTGCAGGGGACACTGGCACAGCCACCCCTGGGTAAATGCTGTCAGTTCCCACAGCCCAGGGGCCAGGGCCACTGTCAGGCTTCTAAGCAGGAGTGAGGAGACCCAAATCAACAGGGCTGCTGTCCTGCTCTTGGCCGGTGTGCCCTGCCCTCTGCACCCCTGGGGGGTGAGACCAGCCAGGCAGCCGTCAGTCCGCGTGAAGGTGAGAACAGGGACGGCGACGCCAGGGCCAGGCTGTCGCCCTGCCTGAGGCAGCACCTGAGGTTATGGGGTGCAGGCTCTCCTGTGTCAGGGCAGAGGAGGACAGGCCAGTGGAGTGCTGGATGGGTCAGAGGACCAGCGAAGCCCAGAGAACGAGATGCCCTGCCTGGAGTCACTCAGTGAACCAGGGGCCAGGCCAGGTTCCACTGAGCCCCAAGAGGGAAGAGACGGCATGCCCACCAGCTCCTCCCAGCCCTTGAGGCTGGGTCACGGTGCCTTCCACACCAACTTTCCCACAGCCTGTGCTCCAGCCCTACAAGCCTGGTGGCCTGCCCGTCATACCTCCTAGGTCGCCTGGGACCTGACTTTGGGAGACTGGCCTATTTTGAGCCAGGTTCAAACTCCGGCTCTGCTCCTCCTGGCTGTGTGCCCTTGGGCAAGAATGCGCTCTCTCTGAGCCTCCTCTGGGAGCCACTGGGTGTAGCTGCCCAACCAAATTCAGCCGGGGGTTAACTGAGAGGGTGCATGTGGGCAGACACTGCCTGCTAGGGTGGGGACAGCGGGCTGGCCCGGGCCAGAGGGAGGGACAGGGTTGAATGTCTGGCACTGCTGCTCCTTTCGTAGGGCCCCGCTGCTGCAGCTGGGATGGGAAGGCAGGAGGCGGACTCTGAACCAAAGGGAGAAAAGGGACCAGTCAGGTCAAGTCTCACGGAGGCTGGAGGCAGTCGGTGGCAGAGGCTCAGTGGTGGCAGGGGAGTCAGTCCCCAGGGAGCCCAGTGGGCTGGGGGACGGTCTGGACACTGTGGCCTTCCAGGCAAAGGCAGGGGACATTTTGTCCAGAGAGCAGGAGCCTTGGGCAGCCCCTGGGACAGATGTCCTGAGGCAGGGAGGCAGGTGCACGGCCCTGCTGGGTGAGGGGCTGAACAAGTGTGTTCCGTGGGGCTCTGCCTTGGCTGCTGCTGGGATTGGGAGAGGCTGAGCGTCTAGGCCTCCAGGGTCCAGACAGAGGCCGAGATGCCTGCTGTACCCAGAGGGAAGCCCAAGGCCTCACAGCCCACGAGGCCCTACACAGTGTGGCCCATGCCCCTGCTGTGTCTGCCTCTCCCACCCCCCGCAGCCACGCTGGCCTCTTTGTTGCTCCTCAAACAGAAATGCCCAGCAGCTCCTGCCTCAGGGCCTTTGCACGTGCTGCACCCACTGCCATCTCCCCAGCGGCCTTGGCGAGCCTCCCCTCCCCCTTCATGTCTCTAAAGCCCCCTTCTCAGAGAAACCTTCCCTGACCCCCACAAATAAAACAGCACCCTGATCCTGGCCCCTTTCTCTCCTTCACCCCATCTCCAGCGCATGTATTTCAACCCAACATGATGTGTAATTATTATTTTTTGAAAATTATTTTTGAGACAACTTTCGCTCTTGTTACCCAGGCTGGAGTGCAATGGCACAATCTTGGCTCACTGCAACCTCTGCCTCCCGGGTTCAAGTGAGTCTCCTGCCTCAGCCTCCCGACTAGCTGGGACTACAGGCATGCACCACCACACCTGGATAATTTTGTGTTTTTAGTAGAGATGGGGTTTCTCCATGTTGGTCAGGCTGGTCTCCAACTCCTGACCTCAGATGATCCACCCGCCTCGGCCTCCCAAAGTGCTGGGATTACAAGTGTGAGCCATGGTGCCTGGCCTATAATTACTATTTTTATTATTATTTTTGAGATGGAGTCTCACTGTGTTGCCCAGGCTGGAGTGCAGTGGCAAGATCTTGGCTCACTATAACCTCCACCTCCTGGGTTCAAGTGATTCTCATGCCTCAGCGTCCCGAGTAGCTGGGATTATAGATGCCCACCATCACATCCAGCTACTTTTTATATTTTTAGTAGAGATGGGGTTTTGCCATGTTGGCCAGGCTGGTCTTGAACTCCTGGCCTCAAGTCATCCTCCCACCCCAGCCTCCCAAAGTGCTGGGATTACAGGTGTGAGCCAGCCTTGCTGTGCAGTTATTTATTTGCTGTTTTATTGTCTCTGACAGAAGGTCACCTTCATAGGCATGAGAACTTGGTTTTATCCTCTGCTGTATCCCCAGAGCCTAGAACAGTACTTGGCACATAGTAGGTGCTCAATAAATAGTTGCTGCATGAATATAGACATGAATACTGGATGAATGGGCAAGAGCGGCTCTGGCCTGGGAGAGGAGCTGCTTTGAGCCCGTTCATGGAGGGCGTGGCTGTCTTCATCCCCCTCTGCCCCAGCTGCCCCCCATTCCCCCCTGCCCGGTGCACGCTCTCATGCCCCCACCCAAGCCCACCTTGTGCAGGTCCTGGGCCAGTGCGTCATGCAGAAGCTGCTTGTTGTCCTGCAGGAAGCGGCCCAGTCCCCGGAGCTGTGCAGCCCGGAACTCGGCCGACCGCGTGTGCCCCACCTGGAAGGTTTCCCGCAGCCGCCGCAGCGTGTCCTCGAAGGGGTCCATCCTGCCAGACAGGGCAGTGTGAACTGGGTGGCCAGGGCTGCCCCTTCTTCATGGGGAACCACCCAGCCGCCCCAGGGTCTGCGCACCCTGACTTGTCTGCACCCACAGGTGCTTGCAGACACCCCTACCTCATACGCACACAGGGACCCACTCAGACGACCCCACGGGGACAGGGGCTGCCTGTGACCTCCTACCGCCAACAGGGGACACTCCCAGACACACAAGAAGACCTTTGCACCACTCCCCTCTGCCATGGACCTGGGGGTGGCCACAGGACTGGGTGTGGGCTTGGGGACATCTCCAAGGGTGAATAGGCAGGCAGAGGGCCACACTTCTTCCTGCTGCACAGAAATTAACTCCAAGCCATGGCCTCTGCCCTGCCCTGATGCCCCTCCTGGAGGCGGGGCGGCCTCACTCCTGCCAGCCTGAATGGAGTAAACAGGAGCTTGATGAGTAGACAAGGTGTCCCACCCACTGCCACCATGGCCACCTCCTTGGAGCACTCTAGACTCAGAAGTCTCTGCCTTCCCCAATCCCCAGCCTGGGGGCACTGCCCAGGGAGGCCAGGCCAGTGGGCAGTAGCCTCCTCTCCTGGTGCCTCAGCTTCCGCAGGAGGAGAGGGCGAACATCTCCAGGCCTCCTGGAGGCCCTGCTGCCAACCCTGCCAGGGCTGTGGTCCTGGGAGGTGAAAACAGCAGTAGGGAGAGGATCGTGGGGAGAGGGTGTTTCTGCGTCCGTGCTGGCGTCAGCCAGGGCTGGCAGGCAGGGTAGGGGCCCAGACATTCCCCCGAGCCCTGCCTGTTTACTTGAAGTTCATCGGAGGAGCACTCTGACGCACTTGTTCCTCAGCCTGGTGCCAAGGATCTGTGGGGATCCTTTCTTCCTTCCCATTCTGAGTTCCTTTCCTCCAGAGCTCAGCTTGGCTGATGCTTCCTCTAGGCAGCCCACCCAGATTATGCCCCCATCCACTGTCACAGTGGTCCCTTGACTCTGCTCCCTACTGTTCTGAGTTGTGCCATGTGATAAACATCTGGTTACACTTTACCCACCTCCCCAACCCTGTCCACTTCCCCTCATTTCCCCCCATTAGACTGGGAGGCAGGCCCCTCTGTGCCTACTTATTTGAGACCCAGTGCCCAAAGCCCCTCATGTTAGGGGCATAATGATGGCACCTGCCAGCTGACGATGAGACCACAGTGTCGGTTCTGAGCCCAGGGCCCAGCTTCGGTGAGCGCAAGGCTGCGGGTGGCTGTAAAGTGGCTACCTGGGGGGCGGGACCTATCCGGCCTGCAAGATGGCCCCGCTGGACCAGTGTGCTGCCCAGAGCCTGGTCGGGAACCCCAGGCCAGTCCTCAGCTGGAGTGACTGGGGGGCCAGGCTGAACCCACCACCCTCCTGCTCTGACTGGGAGAAGCTGGGCAGCTGCCCACACGCAGGACAGGCACCATGGTCCCCGGAGGGGATGGCCCGTCACAGGAACAGGACTGAGACCGGGAGCCAAGAACGTGCCTCTCGAGCCACCATCGGGTCTGTCTCCCGGCTCTGCCTCTTACCGGTTGTGTGACCGTGGGCAAGGCGCTCGCCTTCTCTGCCTCAGTTTCCTCCTCTGTGAAATGGGTGTGCTAATGGCGCCTGGTGTCATTGTGAGAAGTGAATGACAGCACGCTGCATAAAACATTTGCCGTCGTGCCCACAGAAAGTACTCGACAAACGGCAGCTCTGGGTGTCTTGCTAAGCAGCCTGCAAATATTTCTCTCCCCCAACTCCGCGCCCCCCCAGGCCCTTCTCCGTTCTACCCTCACCCTGCAGGCCTGGACCTCTCTCGCCTTTTGTAAGAGCCTCGGCAGAAACCACAAAAATGCAAGGCACATAATGTGATTGGTGGACCATGGGCTGGGAGCTCTGCGGGGAGTGGAGCTCTGCATGGAATAGCCAGCAACCCTCCTAGCAACAGTGAGACCAACTCACCACGGCTGCAGGACACACCTCCCCCACAGGGCAACCAGCCCTGGCATGGCCCCTACAGGTCGCTCACTATGGACCGAGGCCCCTAGGGAGTGCCCAGAGCAGGTAGGGGGCTGGGCAGGACTCCAGCAAGCAGAGAAGACAAGGTTGCCTTTGGCCTGAGATTGGGGGAACCCTGGGCCTGTGACCTCCCGAGGGTACTGGGCGGCCACTGTGGGCACACAGAATAGGGAATCTCTAAATCAGGCACTGGGGGGGCCGAAGCCCACCCCCTCGGTGCCTCTCGTACAGTGTGAGGTCATAAGGAAGTCGCCTGTAAGACCCGTTCTGCCCTTACCCATTTCAGCACTATGGCCGCCCAGCGAGGGGGCTGCTATTCACCCCACTGAAGGCGATGGAGGCTCAGAGAGGGCTAGAGCTTGCCTGATGCCACCCAGCTCCTCACACTGGAAAACCCAAATCCAGAGGAGCAGAAGGCTACCCCGCCCGGCTCCCACCTCCCTCATAGTCCCCTGGGGACGGGCAGCCAAGTCCTTGGTGGAAAGGGCACCCTGGCCTGGGGCCTGGACATCAGACTCGGGGGGCCAGGGGACTCCGGCAGGCTGGCTGTGGGAGGGGCGCCTTCGAGGGGGAGGTCTGGAGCTGTTTGGATTCCATTTCCTCCCCTCCTCACCACTGCTGCTGCTCCCCGCAGTGCTGGGTTGGGGGGTCTGAGACCGCCTCTTGCCTCCTGACACTGAGCCACTCAGGTTCAGGGGCTGACGGGCCCAAGGGTCTCTTGGCGTGGCCCTCCATCACAGGCTGAGGGGCATGTGGCCCAGACTTGCAGCTTCTGGGTGGGGGGAGTTGCCACACATCACATCATTTGGTGATGAAGACAGCGGCTCTGTTTCCTCTGGCCTGGGGGCCAGGACAGGACCAGCCACTTCCCCTGAAGACCATGGGTGTCAATACTCAGGCGCCCATGTGCCAGGCACTGTACCAGCCTGGGTGCTCGCCAAGAGTGCCCACAGGCTCCAGGAACAGAGTGGGGAGGAATGGAGCGGACACATCCCGGGGGTTGAATGGTGCCCAAGGCCCTGCCCCCAGCCTCCCAGCAGGGCCCTGCTGAGGGACCGTCCCTGGGCAGGGAGGCCCTGCTCGCTCACACCCTGGCCCATCAAGTGGGTTGGATTCAGGGAAAGGGACACTCTGCCCATTCTCTCATGCTTTGCCTGTTTCCTTTCCGCATCTATACTGTGGGCCTTCTAAGAGCATGCTCCCAGCATGGCATGGTCTGGGCGCCCAACGACCCGGGTTCAAACCGCAGCAGCCGCATGTGTGAGTGGGGCGTGTACTTACTTCTCCCATCTGTAAAATGGAGCAGTGCCTGTGGCACCTATGCCACTGTCGGGAGCATTCAAGCGCGGGGACCCCGGGAAGTGCTCAGTATCCATGAGGACGGAGGTACTAGGGGAGTGCTGGGGAGGAGACCCCTGGGCACGGGCCTGAAGCGGCCTTTATCCAGGGCAGGTGTTGGGAGACAAGGACATCACCCTGAGACCCAGCTGCGGACAGGGATGTGCTGACAGAGGGACCGAACATTGTGGGCGGAGGGCCTGGGGACCCCCATCAGGGCAGCCAGAAGGCGGGGATCACTAGGTCAGCCTCAGCGGTCCCTCAGGCCCAATGCTATAGGGTCTCCAATTCTAACGTCCTGCAGTTTAGCTTCGTTAAACAAGAACGATGCGAGGCTGTTGTTTTGAACTGAGTTCCTGCACTAGGCCCCAACAGACCGGACCAAGCCAAAATGGAGTCACTCATGCTAAATGCCACATCAAACGGAAGCTTTAAGGAAGCAGATAGATCCCAAAACAACAGGCCAGTTTCACTGGAGCCAGCCTCATCAGGAAGTCCCCTCTGCCTTAGCCCTTAGAAAAGAGCAGTCTGCCGTGACCTGGTGTTGGGTGGTTGGGTGTTCCCTGTTTTTCTGTTTCCTCCTTCCTGCCTTACGAAACCCCTGTTCTGCCATTGCCCGGTGAGGCTCTCATTCAATTTTGTAGAATGGAGGCAGCTGGGATTCATGAATCATGAATAAAAGCCATTTCGATCTAGAACTAAATGTGTTGTCATTTTGTCTTTTGATGGCCTTAAGCTGGATTTTCATGAGGTCTCGCAAAGCTCAGCAGCCCCTCCCTTCCATGGGGTCCCTGGGGAACCAGGGACCAGCACAACCGCTCACTTGTGGCTTAGGCCAACCAGCCCCAGGCCACAAAGAGGCTGAGCAGCCTCGGCTCCGGATGGGGCACAGTTCCTGGGATGAGAAGCGCCTCCTGCAGGTGGGGCGGGGCAGGCTGGCCTCTCCTTCCTTGGGCCCTGGCAAAGTCTATTGCTAAGAACGACTCTTTTCCAGAGTCATCCATGGCCGCATCCCTGCATCAGCACTGGGCGTGCGTGCCGGTGCCCAGGAAACAGCTGGTGCTGGAAAAGATACTTGAACCCCTGCAGGGAAGGGGCGCACATTCCTTCCTGGGGCAGCTAGGCCCAGAGCTGGTCCCTTGGTTCCCTTGGAGGGTGTCCGAGAATCCCAGGCAGAGGAGGCCACGGCAGCCCAGCACAGACAACAGAAGGGTGCCTACTGGCCAGTGGGGTGCCCGGGACCCGCCGCCGCTCCCCAGCCCTGCCTCTCCTCCTTCCGGTTTCTCCCCCAGCCGGCAGGCTGACGAGCGCAGCCGGGACACCGCGGGGACACGGCGGCGCCTGAGCGCAGCTGCCCGTGGCTAGGCCGGCCTGGGCTACTGCAACCCGGAGCTGCTGAGCTGGACTCTGCCCCGGCTGCTGGCCCCCACCGCCCCAGCCTCCCCGGGAGACCGTACCTGAGGCTCTGCCAAGCTGCCCTTCCTCCCGGCTGTCCTGCGCTGCCTGGCGGCCCTGCCCTTAAGAAATGTCCAAGGGCCGGCCCCTGGGGCGGAGCTGCCCTGGCCTCGTGCCTGACTCTGGCTCTGGGCGGGCTGGAGGCTGCAAGCCGAGATTTCACCACCGCCTCCTCAGGGGCCTCGATATCCCCTCCCAGACCACAGAGAAGGAACCAACACCCAGAGGGCAGCAGGCTAGAGCCACACAGCAGGGCTGAGCTCTGAGCTGAGGGGCCAGCCTGAGGAGGACAGCCTAGGGCAGTGACCCTGAGAATCCCAGTGTGAGGTGGGAATTATTATTATTTTTTAAATGTCATGTGGAACGTTATATTATGTGGCCCAGAAGAGCAAGGAAGTCTATCTTCCACTCCCTGCCTTCCCTTGATGACTCCCTTACCCAAGACTCAGTTTCCCCTTCTTCATAACAAAGAGGTCAGACCCAAAGACGGCTGAAGTCTAGAAATACCATCTCAGGAACCACACCTCGTGCCTGCTCCATCTCCCAGTGCCCTGTGTGTCCCTGTCCCTCCACACCACCTGACGGGTCACCCTAGTCACAGAGCCTGTCATTTCCCAGATCCAACATTTTACAAATGAGGAAGCGGGGGCACAGAGACGGGGTGGGATGTGAACCTGGGGGTGTGCATGGCAGGGTTTCCTGCTCCAGACCTGGAGCTGCACCCATCCCTGATGTCCCCTCTGCCTCCCGGGAGGAGTGCCGCCCTTTCTGCTTAGGACGGTGATCGTGATGCCACATGTCACCTTGCTGGTTCCTGTAGTCCTGATCCCCCTCAGGTGCCACAGCTGTGCAGAGGCCTGTCCCTGCCTGCCCCCAGCCCACCCTGGGTATACCTGTCAAAGCCAGCACGCTGGGGGGGTGATGTCCAAGCTGCTGTGGGTGTGGACAGGCAGGGGACAGGGTGACAGGTGTGGGGAGGAGCCTCCTTTATGCCCCTTCCTGGGCCCGGTGCTGCTGCTGTCTCCCTGGTGCCCTGGGTCTCCCTGGCTCCTGGCCCCGGGGCCTCTGGGCCAACCTGGCACCTGGGAGGTGCTCATCACAGCCCCCACCCACCAGCTCCGTGCCTACCTGGAAGGGCAGTGAAGTCTTCTGGGCCACGCCCACACTGGTGACCCGTGAGGATGTAGCTAGTTAGGGTAGGGGCAAGTGGCTGCAGAGCCCCTGTCCTCTGTGTGGGATGGAGCCCCCAGCCGCTGCCAGTCACGTGGTTCAGCATGTGACAGCCCTGCCCTGGCGCTCTCTGGAGCTCAGCCAGATCGAGCGGGTGCCAGGCAGGGCTGGGCGGGGGCTGAGCCTGTAGCTGTCAGCTGGGAGCAAGGCCCAGAGAGGGCAGCCACTGGTCTAAGGCCACACAGCAGATCAGAGACCCACCTTGGCAGGGACTGGCAAGTGGGAGGGGTGTTTCAGGATCCCAAGGGCCCCCTCCCTGGCCAGGGAGCTGTCAAGGCATTCCCTGAAACTCACAGGGTCTAAACTTGTCATAAATGCAACCTGGGAAGAGCCCCCAAAGAGGCCTGTCCTAGCCTGCCCCAGGAGTCAGGCTTCCCCGCCTGAGATGCCATGCACCTCCCAGCTGGGCTGGGCGCTCCCCACTCTGGCTCAGGTGCCCCTCACTGTTCCTCAAAGATCCAGAGGCTCAGTGGGGTCTGGGAGTCCCGTCCTTGTTGAGGGGACCCCAGGGTAAATGGGGAGCTCTCTGGGTAGGGCACCTGGAGGACTCACTCTTGGAGCCAGCTCTGGGGTGGGGGCTCTGCCGAGGCCCAGGCCAGCCAAGTGGGGAGGGTGGAGGGGAGCTCAGGGCTCCAGGCTCTGGGCCAGACAGCACCCAACCTGCCTGCCATGACTCCTTCTCCCTGGGCTGATGCTTCCCCTCTTTGGGCCTTGGTATTCCCGTGTGAAAATGGGGCTGACTATAGTTCTGGGGGTGTCTGTGGGTAAATGACAGGGTTGGGTGAGCACTTAGCTCAGCATCTGGCACGGAGGGCGTCAAGTGTGAGATCGAGGCTCAAATCCTGGTCCTGTCACTTACCCGTGTGACCTAGGTTAGTGCCTTAACCCCTGTGCCTCTGCCTTCCCATCCACAAATTGGGGATGTGTAAGAAGTACGTACCCAAGTGATTGTGAGGTCACAAGTCATTCCATGCACGTGGGCCCAGAACTGTGACCATTCCAAGTGCCTCTACCCCTCTGGAGGGGTCTCAGAGCTACCATCTAGACCCAGGACAGGAGTGTGGGCTGGGCACGAGCATAGTATCAGGTGGAATCATTCATTCATTCATTCATTCACTCCCTCATGCTAAATGCCAGGACAGGAGTGTGGGCTGGGCACGAGCATGGCATCAGGTGGAATCATTCATTCATTCATTCCCTCACTTCTCAGATACATACCCCTGAGCCTGGCTCACAGGGCCTCAGACCTGCCCGAGAGCATCTTGCTGCCTCACCTGCCCACGAGTGACCTTGAGCAAGTCACATCCCCTCACTGGGCCTCATTTTCTCCAGCTGTAAAATGGGGCTGACTCTGCCTGCCTCACAGAGCTGCTTCGAGGGTGAAGTGAGAGCTGGTCTGAAGGCACCAACAGGGCGCCTTGTGCTCAGCAGGCACTCAGAGCATGTGAACGTCCCCTTGCCCCTATCCCTGCCCTCCTGAGGAAGTAGCTGCCCCAGGCCTTGGCCCCGAGGCCCTGGACCCACCCTGGCTCCTCGGAGAGGCAAAGTGAGAGGCTGCAGGGTCACCGGACCCAGGACACAGCCAGAACTCACAGGCAACGGTGAATGCAGGTCACTCATTCATTTACGAACTCAACAAACCTTTACTGAGCACCTACTGTATGCAGACACTTCACACAATTTTCACAATTCCCAGACATGATTGACTGTGCTTTCCAGCTGGGCCACACAGTGACAAGGACACGTGGGGATCCAAATGCGGCCCGGCCTGGCTCCCTGGCCCACGGTCCTTCTAAGGCGCCTGGAACCCACGCACAGAAATGGGCTGGGGTCTTCAGCTCTGGGTGAGCCCCTTGCCCCCAACTCTCGGAAGCCTCAAGTCTCAGTGGAAGGCAGCAGCCACCTGGACATTTACTGTGCCAGGCACTGGCCAGAGCCCTTGGCGCGCCCCAACCTGGGGACCTTCCAACATCCTGTGAGCCAGCCTCGCTGATTGTCAACCCCACTGGCTTTAATGTTTAACATACCATGGACTCGCATCCATGCGGGGGAAGTGGTGTTCAGTGAATCGTGGGGGCTGCCCAGCTGGCTACTATGTCAGTGCAATGAAGGTCACAATATTCCACGATGTTGTTTCAGGGAGTTCCAATTGAGAGCAGCATTTATTCTCTTCTGCTTGCTTTCCTGCAAGGAACATCGATGATTTTCAAAATGAAAGTAAAGCCTTATTATATGGAAAATTGGCAGACAGTGAGAGGGGATCTGGCTGCCCCTTCCTGGGGCTATGGCTGTGCCCTCTGGCAGCCTGGATGGGTTGTCGGGGGTGCCGGCCCTGCTCAGATCTCTGTCCCGCAAGTCACACTGGTGCATTTATCTGGGCCATGTCAGCCTCTTAGGTAGTCTCCAGGCTCCCCAAATGCAGCTCCATAAGCCACCTTAAAAACGTCCTTTCTGGTGGGGCGCGGTGGCTCACGCCTGTAATCCCAACACTTTGGGAGGCTGAGGTGGGTGGATCATGAGGTCAGGAGTTCGAGACCAAGCCTGGCCAGCATGGTGAAACCCTGTCTCTACTAAAAATACAAAAAATTAGCTGGGTGTGATGGGCACACTCCTGTAATCCCAGCTACTTGGCAGGCTGAGGCAGGAGAATCGCCTGAATCTGGGAGGCAGAGGTTGTAGTGAGCTGAGATGGCGCCACTGCACTCCAGCCTGGGTGACATGGCGAGACTCTGTCTCAGAAAAAAAAAACCCAAAACAAGCAAACAAAAAACCCCACATCCTTTCTGGAGAGGGATGTATCACTCAGGGTTTAATGCGCTAAAGGGCTGTGTGTGTGTGTGTGTGTGTGTGTGTGTGTGTGAAGGTCTCACTTTGTCACCCAGGCTGGAGTGCAGTGGTGCCATCTTGGCTCACTGCTGCCTCATCCTGCTGGGCTCAAGCAATTCTCCCACCTTAGACCCCCGAGTAGCTGGGGCTACAGGTATGCACCACCACACCAGGCTAATTCTTGAAATTTTTTGTAGAGATGGGGGTCCCACTATGTTGCTCAGGCTGGTCTTGAACTCCTGAGCTCATGTGATCCTCCTTGGCCTCCCAAAGTGCTGGGACTGCAGGCATGCAGTCCCACCTCGCCCAGCCCTCTCCAGGTGTTTTGAGCAGGAGACACTGAGTGCGAGAATTGGTGGCACAGCGCAGGTGACGGAAGAGTGCAGGATGGGCAGCCATAGCAACTGCCACCACCCCCAGGCCTAGAGGGACACAGGGAGGAAGAGCTGTCACCAGGCCCCAGAGGATTGGGATCCCCCAGGGAAACTGAGAAGCTTGTGGGGGCCCACTCTTCGGGCACTGGGACCATACAGGAGTCGGGTCTCTGCCAAGAGTGCCTCCAGAGCCCCGGGCAGGCAGTGAGAGCCGACCTCGGCTTCTGCCTTCGCTCCCCACTGGCCGAATCTAATCAGAAGCCAAAGGCAAGGAGTCCTGGTGCTCAGGTGTCTGAAAGCTCTTGTCTTCTGGGGCAGTCACATCCCAACTCCACGTCTGCACAGCTCCGGGGGTGCTTTTTTCTTGCTAAGCTGAGGCTGAAAGCGCTTGTGTTCCAAATTCATACGGTGCCACCATGTGGGACCTTAGAAAGACCCAAGCTGCTCCTTACTAAACGGGATGTTTGTGTTTGTATTCTTTGTGTTGGGTTTTTAAAAAAATGAAATGAATTTTAATAAAACAATGTAAAATTAAAAGCTGC